CAAATCGATTTCATATTATAAACAAATATCATAAGTTCACATTAAACTTTTAGACAGGCAGTCTAATTTTATTTCTATTACAATTTAAAACATAACTTTTTGTGTCTATTTGTTTCTTTAAACATATAATTGGATATTCAAACTTTTAGTACTTTATATTTTTATATTTTAAATTGAGGGATATGCGATAGACTTAACTCCATGTGGTGCACCATGGGCAACGTATACTCATACGGCTAAAAAGTATATTAACCGACAGTTGGCTTCTGATTTCAAACTACCATCACCCCACTGTATGCCATATTCGACTTCTTCCCCAGTACTCACCTCACATTTTTTTATACTCTTATATCTCTCTCTTTACATCTTTGAATAAATAAATATTTTAAATGGAGTTAAGGTAAATAAAAACTTTAAAACAATTCCTAAAACTTATAAATATTATAATCTTCGTTAAGTTGCTTATATTCTGTTTTATTATATAAACTCCATAATAAACAATAGCCCTAAATTTCCTTCGTAAATCCCATTTATTTTAGTGAAATACTTCTTTCACCCGATTTCACAAATGGCCAAAGCCATTTAAAAAACCATCGAGTTTTAGCTAAATATCTCAATTTATGGCTACTCACTGTAACGGACTGCTACACTAGTAAAGCCTTAACCGGCTCAGAAATATTTTTATGGTGGTTTCTCCTATATCTGAACCAGTTAAGCTACAGCCAAGCTTGGGAGGAAAGAGGTGTAATACATAGAACACATTTATTGCTAATTACGATATCGGCAAATGTGAATAGTTGTCATATAAATCTAACATAATCTTAATGAGCATTAATAGCTAAATATTTGAGCAGAGCTCTAAGTGTAGGGCCGAAAACCTCAAATCTTGGGGTGTGTGTGTGTGAGTGCTCGCGATGACATGTCTCAAAGTACCCACTCATACCCTTTGAAGAAGTTGATCCCAAAATATCGTTTCTATACTTAAATTTATAAACTACAATCGTTTTCAAATCAAATCTTGGTATAAATACTGAGTTATTAATAGAAAGTTCGGAGAGAATATAATCTTTCGTCTTCATTTTTATCTATGACCAATTATAGCTGTCCGATTTTTTACTCCCTTAATTGTCAAAAGTCAATTTATGTGACGGATTACGTGAGTATATTTACCTTAGATACTCATAATGTTCCAAAACTTACTTGAACAGTCTTCCAAAATTCTTAATACCATTCGAAGGTTTAGGGATCTCTTTTGGCAGAACCGGTTGCTATTTGGTATTATCAATTTGATGTGCTTTATTTTCAAAATATATTATTAAGGCCGATTTTTTCCAGTGAGTTACAATGCGTTGCTCTTCGCAAACAAGACTGTTCTTGAAGGTGCAAGATATTAATGGTAGAAATTTTAAAGAATTTAAAAACTCTAGCACCTCACACATCTTCTTAACCTATATCTTGTTAAATTAGTTGATATTTTAAAGGAGAGGACAATATTAATTGGAATTCATGTATAACTTATTGAGCAATTTATTATCATTTACACCGATGGGTATTCGTCTAAATTTCTATGAGCCTAATTGATTCATCTTGTATCTTTTCTACATTTTTCTCTTGCTGTTTTGCAGTGGTCTTGTGATTTTAATGATTGAACTCTAAAATCCTGCGCCGAAGCAATCTTTTGTTTGCTTAGATATCTATTCTTTTACATAATTCATTCATCCAGAAACTTTTGACATATATATATATATATATATATATTATAATCATAATGGATAGGATGGAGTGTTTAATCATATCCTATCAAATTAATTTTGTTTAGTCCCTTGAAGTTTAAGCGGATATTTTATTCACATATTACATTTTTATCCATTTGTAATGTCGAAAAGTATTTCTAAAACTCGAAGGGATAAGCTTATTCGGGGAAACAAGTCAATTTTGTCTTTCTTTAAAAGCACAAATGAATCTGACAAAGCAATTACTGTAAAAGAAGCATTGAAGACTCTATCAGGGTCTGACAAAACTTGTGGCCCTTTAACAGATACTGAGGCTTTGACGTATGAAAACGCTGGTAATTTTCCGAAGAATTTTTCAACTAATAAAGAATGTCCTAAGTATAAATGGTTGATGAGTGAGTTATAATAATATTACTAGCGCTTCGTAGATACTCCCTTCACTGTGGATGCTTTCAGATATGGGTTAATCACAGGCTGTAGTGGATATTTCCTAACTCATTTTCATTCTGATCATTACATTGGTCTTACGTCGAAATTTACCGGTACAATTTATTGCAGCGAGGTAATCATGATAGAATTTTATATTAGATTCTTTCAGGTCACTGCCAAACTTCTTAAGAATAAGTTTGGTCAGTCGCTTTCTATTGTTGATTTACCAACAGATGTCTTTATAAATGTCAATGGATTTGATATTTTTCTATTAGATGCTAATCAGTAAGTGCGTCATCTTTCCATTTGCCTCATTAATTCCAGTTGTCCCGGTTCGGTATTAATTCTTTGTCGCTTTCCTACGGGTAATGTGCATTTGCACACTGGTGATTTCAGGGCTCAAGCAAATATGTTAAAGGCGCCTAGTCCATTAGCCGAATTTATCTTTCCCAAACAGCGGATTAACACCCTCTATCTCGATACAACGTTTGTTATTTCAGATAATATTAAATCATTTTTACTGATAATTTCAAGTAACTAGGTGTTCTGTAATTGCTCAGGTTCTGTGCTCCTGAATTCAAATTTCCTCCGCAAGAATCCGTTATCGATGCTGCGATAGAAATATCTCGTGAAGCTCTGGTTACTCATCCAGATGCTCTTACTCTATGCGGAATGTATACAATTGGGAAAGAGCGTTTTGTACTGGGTATGCTATCTACTTACTGTTTACTATTTTAGTTTCTCACGCTTATTTTTACTGTACTGTTAGTTGGGTCAAATTAGTATATGTGTGCTGTGCACATAGTTAGTGTTTTTCTTGCGTCAATTCTTGTTGTTCACATATGTGATAATCTTAGGTTTGCAGCTGTTAGCTACTCTTTAGTCAAGGAGTTTGAAATCACACATGATTATCATCTTGGCGGTTAATCAACATCACACGTGTGTTGGAGTTCTATTTTTTCCTAGGCTTGAATTTTATCTAGTTTTCTCTATGCATGTACGTTTTGCAATGAGCAGAAAAACTTTTTTTCTATAGTCCTGTTTTCATTGCCCTCCTTCTCAATTGTATTTCTACTCGAACTTTTTCAGCCCCGAGATGTTTGTTTTGTTGTGCGGATAACT